TAGGTTGATTTTCTAGTGGTACTCTAGATAGTGTGTAGCTCCAATAGCAAGTTCCAGTAGCCTTGTGAAATAAACTATAGAATGGCCAAACAGAAGCAACCAAATACAGGAATGTGGGTATCTAGGTTATTTACTTTTGTGTATGCACATCCAGAAAAGAGAGTTTAACAGCTTTAGACCCTTCTGTGATTCCACTAAAACAGGCTAACTATAGCTATGGGCTTGTGACAGTGGTTTATTTGGAGCTCCATACTTTGATAATTCTTTTCCCTTATGTCTTTGTGACATCTGTGGATTCTAAGCAGAAGAAATTTGGCAACACAGTGACTTTAATTCAGTACTTTTGCACAAAGTGGACTAACTTTTGGGAAGTGTGCAATTGTTTATGGTAATCAAATAATGATGATGGAAGACAAGTCTGCCCTACCTGTGTGGTCATGAGTACAATTTTCAGTAAGCAAGTTTATGATTGTTTTCTTTTTCTTTAAGAACCATCCAGAATCTTAAAAAAACAATCTCTCTTCTCTCTGAAGTATCAACTTGAGTAGTGTTGAACTACAGCTTTTTTTTCTTATTGATGACAGAGAAATCCAGATAATTCATGTAACTAATTAATCTGTTTTTTTTCTTCTTGTCTTTTCCATTTCATGTCAGTCACTATGAACAAGACCGCAGCGCACTTAAGAAAAGAGAGTGGGAGCGGAGGAACCAAGAAGTTCAACAGGAAGAGGACCTCTTTTCTTCAGGCTTTGATCTTTTTGGGGAGCCCTACAAGGTAGCTGAATATGTATGTAATTTATCCTTTTAGAAACTTATTCCTTGTTTTGTTTTTGAACTCAAAAATCAACATTTAACTCATTTTTAAAACACCTAAGTCAACTCTAAGAGAATATATCTTACAAGTGAAATATATACATAAGTTGTATTTGGAGCAATTTCAGGTTTTTGAGGAAGTCTTCAGGGACAAAATCCATCTTCTTTGTGAAGTACAGTAAGACTGCAAAGAGATTTGTGAGACTTCCTATTTCTAAGGAGCCCCTTACTGCCCGACACTTGGTTCAGCAAAGAATGCACCTTCTCTATGCCTTCTAGGGCTTCTGTGAGTAGTGAGGGAGCCCTTCATGAAGGTAGCAGAATGACAAAGGATGTATAACTATTTCTCTTCCCAATCAGTGCCACCCATTGCAAGGCCATTGTTTTTATTTTTATCCCATCTGGGGTTGTTGGCAGCTGTTCAGGGGTCGGAGTGTATTTTGGAGATCAAAGTCCTAAGGTAAAGGGAAAAGGCAATCATTTTTCCTGGTGGTGATAATCATGGGTTAACAGATTGCTTTAACTGGAGAGAACAGTATAGTTAGGTTGATTTTCTAGTGGTACTCTAGATAGTGTGTAGCTCCAATAGCAATCAAACTGGGGCATCTACAAGTGTTGACTTTACAATTAAGTCTCTGAATTTTCTTATGTGGTGGAGTTAGGGGGCAACCTAGAAGAGCTTGTGATGGAAGAATCATTGAATTACTGGCAGCCTTTTAAAAAATTAGTAGTAGTGTAATTTTCTGTAATGTAACCAGAAGGATGTAAGAAATAAAGCAAGAGTGAAGCTCTTCAACAATAGTGATTTTAGAAGAACATTGTTTAAAGGACAGTGACTTCCAGAAAGGGAACAGTTTTAATAAAGTCAGAGTTGGTATAGATACTGTACTACTTTGGGACAAAGATTGTACTGTTTGTCTTGGTGGCTAATGCCAGAATCTTGTTGCTTTGTTCTAAACAATGAATAAGTTCTTTCTTGGCCCATCTATGTCCTTTCATGTTTGATAACTCTGACAGACTCAAGTCACCTAAGCTACTAATTTCCAATCTGTGCCTAAGTGTATATAATTCATAAAGCATTTTTCCTATCTTGATTGATTCAATTTATATGCTACCTTTGAATGTGTGCACTTAGATGTACAATTAATTTAATCAACATTTTTGAAAGCCTACTGTGTGTGAGTTACTCTCTTGAAAAAGTGTATTTAGGGGAGTAAAACATAGCCCGTGCCATCGTGGAAGAGTTAGTCCAATCGCATAGATCATCAAATGATGAGGACGTGATGACGTCCCTGCATTGTGACTGAGAGACACAGGCAGGAGAAAGACAGTGAATACTGTGCACCTCATTCCAAGACTTGGAGCATTATTCTGTGCATGAAGAAGAGTCATTACATGGTTTTTTACATTAGCTCATAACCCTGATAAGACAGGGAGGGATTTTTTTTGTCATAAAGGAAGCAATAAAGCCATCTTTATTGTTTAGAAAGTGGTCTTGGACAATGTGGAGAGTAGGTGAAAGGGAGGAGAAACTGAAGAAGTTTAGGAGAAGCTTCTGGCAGGAAGGATTAAATGTAGAGCATTGAAGTTGGAATGTTGGAATCATATGTTGAATTGGATGTGTTAGTATGGAATAGTTTGTGACTTGAGAGTTAGAGGTACCAGTAGGAAGTTGCTGAGGACAACAGGATTGTTGCATACAGGAAGATTAATTAATACAGCTTGGTGAAGTCTGGATGATGGGCCAGTAGGATATCAAGGGTGAAATATCCAGTAGCTGTCAGATATATGAGTCTGGAGCTCATCAGAGTAGGCAAAAGAGAGATTTAGTTATTCTTGTCATGTAGGTGGAAGTGGAAGCTCTGAGAATGTGTACTACTCTCAAGTTAGGATATCAAGTGCTAAGAAGGGTTGAGAAGTTGAGGAAGTGGTTGCATTTAGGATGTTAAAGTGATGACGACAGCAGAGACTGGGAAGGCAGTGTAAAAAGGAGTCATCAGATAGGTAGGAAATGCACTAGGATAGAAACACTGAACAGAAAGCAAGGGAACAGATAATTCGATGGGGAAGCAGTGTGTTAATTACATACGTCAGAGGTGTCAGGAAAGGTAAAAACTCTGAAGTGCTGTTGGATTTGACAGTTAAGGGGTAATGGGTGACCTTTGGAAGCATTGTTTTTGTTGATGGTGGTGGTCATTGTGCAAAATCAAACCTCCAACCTCTTAGGTCATAAACTATCTCATACTCCCACATCCCATTCAACATATGACCTCAATATTTCAACTTCAATACTCCACCTTGAATCCTTCCTGCCATAAGCTTCAATTAATCTTCCTTAGTTCCTCTTTAGAGAGGTAACAGGAAGAGTGTAAGAAAGCGAGCAGTTGATCGTGTAGTGAGGTTTTGCATGGAGGAAGGAAAGAAAGATAGAAGACAAGGTAAATGAAGGGAAGGGAATGGAGGTTGAAATTTAAGTGAATAATTATATGGAGGGAAGATCTTTATAAGTGAGAGAAGCAAGAGTATATTTAGTGATAGATGGTAAGAAACCAAGATGAATAGAGAAGGAGAAGGTAGAAGATACAGGGGAGAGAGCTGAAGCTGAGTGCAACAAGGTTCCAGAGAAAAGATTAAAAATACAAGGTGGGGAGCAAGTGACGACTCGTGAGCCAGGGGGAGTGTGATGGGCACAGGACATGGGGATGCGAACAAAGCATGGGTTGATAATGGAGCAGGAAGCCATGGCCTCTGTTTTTGGTGGAGAGTTCAAACGATGATAGGTGTCATGTCCTTTCTTGAAGTAAAGGAGGAACAACTACATAAATTGTGCTTCTTGTTTTTAAATGTATTAGTAAAATTTACTCTACTCAAAGATTTTGTTCTTCCATATGCCTACCCACCCAGTCTTCAACTGAATTATGAGGTGAAGAGCCCTTGTTTTATTCTCCTCTCATACCTTTTAATCAGTCAATTAATGTTCTTGTGTCTTTAAGATAATTACCATCTCGTAACAGGGACTATTATATGGATTCATATTTATTTTTAGGGGTTACCAGTGGTTTTTAAGAAGGCAGTTGATAAAGTTGATAAACTCTTAGCATTGTTAGAAGTCTTCAAAATCCACCTCTCTCATACGGCTTCATCAGGTAGAGACACAGATGGGAACATTTAGTCTTTTTCTTCGTGGAACTGGGGATTGAACTCAGGCCCTTGTGCTTGCCAGGAAAGCACTTATTCTGCTGAGCCACAACATTATTATTCTCCTCAGCCAGAACATTTAGTCTTGTATAAGGCCAGACCTGGTATATGAGTAGTAGCTTAATGCCTTTGTGCCCCTTTATGGAGAATGCCATTTGTTCTTGAGTCAGAGGTACAAAGCAAGGGAATCATGCTAACAGTTTGTAAACTTGGAGCTCTTTTCCTTTCATCCTTGCTTTGATTATTATTGGTTGCCACCTTGTGCTATGCCTATGATCAAGATTCCCTGGAAGATAGCTGAGGAATATTCGTTTTTCATCCATCACTTTATGACCTTAGAATTGATGCAGACCTCCAAAATCTCCGCAGACTAAGATTGCAGCAGATGAACTTGGGACATGTGGTTGGCAGTGGCAGTGGGAGCTCTAGGGCTGGCTCATGGCCCATTGGTTGATATGATGACATAACACACCTATTCCAAAGAATTATAGTGGGAATTCTTATGAAATTGAAGATCAAATTTCTCGGTAATGGACTAGGACTTTCAGGAAATTTCTTGCTACCCTGGAGCCTAAAACATTGTCTGATCACTTAACTGTTAACATCAGCATTTTCTAACTAGCTGGGGTGAACTCCAGACTCTAAGACTTTCCTTCCCCAGCCAAAAGAAGAAATAGTGATCTCTCATTTTCCTTACTTTTCTTGGTTCACCTATACCACACTTGGAATGAAAACAATGCTGACCTCTCCTGGGGTTATTTCTTGGTATGAAACTTCTTTTGCTGAGGCTCTTCTCCCAGCTTATAACATTTGCATTAGAGTTTGCACTGTGCTGTTGAGAAAGTCATCTTCAAAAGTGCCTAAGAAAGATGAAGCCATTTGACCTGTCTAGGTACACGTGGGAAGGCTGGTGAGACTGGCTTTATGGCTGTACTTTCTTTCTCCTTATAACAAGTGAAATGGACGTTTTCCTCATGCATCTTTTGAGGAATTTTAATTCAGAGAACAAATATGATGCCTCTGCATCATTATATCCTTGTATGTTGGATATTTAGACTTCACCAGTTCTGTGGGCTTCTGTATACATAAGAGGAAAATATCTGATGGGCAGTCAAAAGACTTGATAGACTTCTCTGCTGGGTGACTGTGGGGAAGAAGCAGTTTCTCTGGTCCTCACTTTCCTCCTTCTGGAGATGAATCATAAAAATAACAATAGCTAACATTTTGCACCTTGGCACAGCTCCATTAGAATGAAGAAGCTGATGTGCAGAGAGGTGTCAGTGGCGTACGCAAAGCCACATGTGCTAGGACAGGTAAAGTCCAGATGGAACCAGAGCTACTCTCTTGACTCACATGGTTGTTGTAAAGATCAAATGGAACAATGTGGAAAATCTTGCCTGAACTTTAAAACACTGTACATAATCCAAGGCATTGTCACTTGTATAATTGGAATAAAGGTAGAAATAAGAATGTACAGCTTAGATTATCTGTGAAAATATTAGGATTAGATGAAAAGAATTACTAAATCACACACTTTAGCAGAATAAAGAAGAAAAAAATGAACCTTAAGACTTCAATTATTTTGATTCTTTTATTAAAAATAACTACAATGGCACAAAAACATCCTAGTACATTAGGCTGGCAATTAAATTATACTACTTATTTGTAGACAGCATTAGAAGCAAACTGGAGGAAGTTTGCATTTCCTAAGTAATGAGAGGCAAAAAGCTTAAATGAAGGAGTGCTGTTAGTCATGAGCCACAAACCAGACATTGAATTTATGCCTAAAGAAAGTTGGAAAATACATTTCCTTGATGAAGAAGAAATCGTGATTACTTACAAAGTAACGGCTGCAGAGGTTACCTTTTAGAAATCAACCAATTATCTAGAACGGGAAATAAAGAATTGGCCAAATTGAAAAAAGTATAATTGATTGAAGTGGCTAAGTTTCATCTTTGCTATGTTTATAGTGTTCCATCAAAATTACCAAGATTGCCCTGCTCCTTAATAGGGTTACTAAGACTTGGGAGGGTAAAAAGGAACTTTTAGTGTGAATCTGAACTATGGTGGATAATGACAGCACGTCTTGTAGGTATATATCGATATATCTACATCGATGGGTTTTCTATCTAGTGGAACTCATGTCTATATCCTAAGAAATTTAAAAACTGCTTAATAGTTGCCCATGTGCAGTCATGGGAGACAGTTTACTCAGGCAGATTGGGCTCGACACTATTTGGCAATCATTGACTGGTAGAGTTGAATCTTGGTGTGTCGGCTGAGCCTGATCTTTCCTCTTGTGTGTTCTCAATTTACCAATATGTCATGAGAGTGACCATAGTGATTCCCACCTGTAGCCACAGCACATCTGTTATGCAAAGCATGTGGATCTTTCTTAATCAACAAATTAAAGTGTTACCATCAGACGCAATTTGGAACTGCCTGCTGTGAGGAAGGGAGATGGCAGGCGTCCATTCCTCCAGGCTAACCTAGTTCTACTCCTTTGTCACAGTGATGAGGGAAGCCACACCCTTGGGTCGTGTTGGCTAGAGACCCTACCTTCACTTGTAGATCTGTCCTCACTGAATGAGACTTCAGTGTGACCCCCTTGGTTTTCATTCGTCATGAGGAAAAGCCACGTGAGGAACATCTTTGCATTTCTTGGAAAACTGGTGCTGAAAACATGATGTGTTTTATTGCTCAGAGGTTTTTAATACATGGGCCAATATGGAAATTCTTTTTCACCCAGTAGTATAAACTAGCCCTTTGTTTTGTTTAATGAATTGGCATATGCTTTTTTTGTCAGATAAATTTAAGTCTTTCACCTAGGAGCTGTTCTTTTGGGCTTTAGCTACCAGGAAACTCAAATTTCAATGTGTTGTTCAATTGTAGTAACTGAATCAGCCTATGTACATTTTTCTCTAGTCATTTGAAGATTATTTATTTTGGCACAGGCAGGATATGAATTATAGTTTGTTTCTGTGATATTGTGACAATTTATAAGGTACTTTATATGCATTCGGTGTGGTGCTAAGTCCAGTGAAAATGAACACAAAGTGATTTTTTTTTTTGGTGGACCTGGGGACTGAACTCAGGCCCTTGCGCTTGCCAGGGAATCATGTGACCTCTCATCTTACTACTTATAGTTTTATTCTGCTCATATAAAAAATATATATATATATATATATATATATACCCAATATATATCCAATAGCTAATGTATGGATAGATAGGAAGAGGTTGATCTTCTAGACATAATCAGATAAACTAATTTTCCCTCAATTTTATTCATTTAGATACACTTCTAGATATTGAGCAGTTCAGAAGTTCTGCTAATTTCAAGCATATTTTAAAATCTACATGTGAAAAAATGGGTAAGCATCCCTCAGAAATCCAGATAAGTATAACCATAAACACAAGTTAAGAGACATAAAAACTATACACACTTCTTCCCACTGAGGACAAGTTGCACTTGTCTTTTACTATTGAAACAAGAGGGCCGGCCAAATAGCTCAGTGGATTAAAGTGACTGCAAAAGAAAGAAAGAAAGGAAGGAAGGAAGGAAGGAAGGAAGGAAGAAAGAAAGAAAGAAAGAAAGAAAGAAAGAAAGAAAGAAAGAAAGAAAGAAAGAAAGAAAAAAAGTATTTGCAAGCAGGCCCAGGCCAGGGTCTGGGGTTTTGATCCCTGGGCCTGCAGTGCAGGCCTTGCCCTTGGAGCACGCTGAGACAGCGATTGAGACTGGGTATAGTGGTGTGCGCCTGTAATCCCAGCTCTTGGCAGGCTGTAAACAGGCGGATTACTATGAGTCTGATCTAGTAGTGAGACCCTGAGCACTCTGTAGACCCTTCCCTAAGATACAAAAAAGAAAATAAAAGAAACAAGAGCAGGCATGTGACTATACATACGGAAATATGTCTTTTCTCATGTATATGAAGATTGAGGTTATTAGATCCTGGTGATATCGGCCCAGAGAGACAGGCTGACTTCTCTGGGCCATGCAGTGTTTGAAGGTCTCTGTAACACCTAGGGACAAGATTGTGAGTCTGTAGTGTTGTTTTCTCCGGTACTGTCAGATCATTGAACATAACCAAGTGTCAGTGTCGGTTAGCCTTGCAATCATCTGGCCCATGAGGCAATCTGTTTGAGAGGCTAGAAAAACCATGCAAATGTTTAAAGTTTGCACTGAGTTCTTCTTGGCCCTCAGCATGATGATATTTCTTTGTTTCGCATTTAGGGTTTGAATAGAGAGAGACTGGCTTTGGCTGCTGCCCAAATTGTTCATTGTGCAACTCAGTTGAAGGAGACTGCTATATGCAAGGAATTTATTCTTCCTTTACTGAAAAGTAATGTCTGCTATTCAAAAAAAATGACAATCCTCGGGAATTTTAGGGAATAAAAGTGATTTCTACTGATCTGTGTCTTTTAAATACACCTATCAAATGTACTTTGGAAAATGGAGAGATTATTCAGTGGAGGACTACATAGAATCTTAATTGTTTAATCATTACTTCAGCACCAAGGTTGCATATGATGCAATACAAGATGTTCTTGAGGATAAGAAAACTAAGATCAACATATATTTATTGGAGTTCTGAAGATCTCTATCTCCCACAGAACTCCCTTTGCATATATTTAGCATATTTCCCTTAACCTTTGAAACTCATAATTCCCTAATTGCCCCATTTCTTTGGAAGTGTCTTAGATGATTTAACATGTGGTATGGTGAAATACTTCCTATAGTACTTATAGATGGTGCCAATAATGAGGCTGAGATTTCTAGTTTGTTTCTCTTTGTGATTGTTTCTTCTTAGTATCCTTTGTTGGGTCCTCTTCTTCCTCCAGTCTCTTCAAGGTTGATGTGTCCCAGGTTGGCACCTGAGCCTGATTGATCTTTTCATTCTTCATTTTCTTTTCCTCAGTGGCTTCATCCATTTCTCTCCATCCATCTGCATATTCTTTCATCTTCACATACAAAGAACAACACACAGTCATACAATGTAGGGTTAGACTGAGACCCCAGGGTTGGATAGTTGTACTCTCTCAGGACACCAGGCAACTGGGTACTTTTGAAGCATATGAGCTACTTTAGATATTGCACATCCATCTTTACTGGAATGTCTACCAACAGGGAGGTGGTCACCTTTCCATGCATGAGGAGCATGCCTGTGGCTACTGGGATCTAAACAATACCTACAGTGCTGCTTTCCCTATCTAATGGCCTGATTTCTAGATGGCTCCGTGAGTAATGGTAGCCTTCTTTGATTGAAATATTTTGGGCCAAGGTAGTGCAGCCTAGGCACAAAGAAGTCCTTTGCCCTTCTGAATTTGGTAGCTTGTTTTCATAATCTCTTTGGCAAGTAAAGAAAATAATAAAGTGATTTTCAGGGATGAACAATTTGAGTTTTCATTAAAGTCATTTGCAAGTATATAGCTAACCACTATTTTTTAGTCATGAAAGCTTTACTTTCTTTACCACAAGAGCCTGTTTAGGAGCTTAATTATTTTGAAAAACAATCAGAGCCATTTTATGGGATTAACATAGCCTACAGGAGATGGCGAGCTAGTCTTTTGATTGTCCATAGATTGGTTTGATTGCCGCTGTAATTCCCGCACATTCAGCTTACATTACTTTGAAAAGATGACTTTGCTTTGATTGACTTAAACAACTTTAAAGTTTGGAATAAATTTTTCTAAATCACTGAAAAGGCACATGAGAGCCTGAGTCACTGTTGATCAACAATTGCATCATTTCAAAGTAAACAAGTATGAATCATCAACTTGTAAACACAGTTGCCCCTGTATTATGTAGGCAGACTCCAGTAATTTATACATTTCTTTGATTAAAAGGAATTAGATACATTTTAGTCATAAGTTAGCTCAATTAGATGTTGTTAATCCCATAGCTCTTTAGCAAGATACTACAGTTTAACTGAGTTTCTTATCTAATGGACTAAGCCTTTCTAATGATACAACGCAGGACAAAGGCTGATGTGACAAAAATATATGTAAGAGGAACATTCCATTATAATTGTAGTGATGAGTAAATGGGAGCTTTTAATCATAATGTAGATTTACATAATGTATAATGTACAAATTCAGCTCATCTCACCTAAAATAACTTTTTTCTGATAAAATTAATAAAGTATGTAATTTTAAGCCTTTTCCCCATTTAGCATGTTTAAGAGCGAGCTGAGGAGCACACCAGCTATTAATCCTACACACACATTCCAGGAGGCTCTTGCAGTGGCATTATTGATATTTCTCTTACATAGCACACGAGAAGTATGAAATTATTTGGCAGCATAACAATTTTAAAGAACCCTATCTGCTAGTCTACTTAAGGCATCTGTTTGAAACATTAACATTAGGAAACACAAACCTATTCATTCTCTCTCCTCCCACCCCCATCTTTTTGTTATTTTAGACAAACAAAGGTGATGCCCTTGCCAACCGAGTCCAGAACACGCTTGGAAACTATGATGAAATGAAGGATTTGCTAACTAACCATTCTAATCAGAATCATCTAGTGGGAATCCCAAAGAATTCTGTGCCCCAGACTCCCATCAACAAAAATGAACCAGGCTTTTTTCCAGAACAGAAGAACCGGATGATCCAACCTCACCAGGATAACACCCACTCCTCAGCCTCGATGCCTCCACCATCTGTCGTGATACTGAATTCTACTCTCATACATAGCAACAGAAAATCAAAGCCTGAGTGGCCACGAGATAGTCATAACACTAGCACTGTGCTGGCAAGCCAGGCCAGCAGTCAGCCAAACAAGATGCAGACTTCCACACAGGACCAGCCTCAAGCCAGACTAGAAGACTTCTTTGTCTACCCAGCTGAACAGCCTCAAATCGGCTCAGTTGAAGAGTCCAACCCATCTTCAAAGGAAGAAAGCAACCCCAAGGCTGATGGAGAAGATGCTTTCAAAGAAATCTTTCAGTCCAACTCGCCAGAACAGCCTGAATTTACAGTGCAAGCACCTGGGTCTCCCCTGGTTGCTTCCTCTCTGTTAGCTCCAAGCAGTGGCCTTTCAGTTCAGAACTTCCCTCCAGGGCTTTACTGCAAAACAAGCATGGGGCAGCAAAAGCCAACTGCCTATGTCAGACCCATGGATGGCCAGGACCAGGCACCGGACATCTCTCCAGCACTGAAACCTTCCATTGAATTTGAGAACAGCTTTGGGAATCTGTCATTCGGATCACTTTTGGATGGAAAACCCAGTGCAGCCAGTTCAAAGACTAAACTGCCAAAGTTCACGATCCTCCAAACAAGTGAAGTAAGTAACATTTAAAGTTTTGTTTCATTGTTTAGTTCACTTTTCTAAGCTTTATTATAAAGTATTCACAGACAGCTCTGATTTACTTTATTGAGCTGCATGTGAGATTCTTCAAGGTCAAAGTCTGATTCTTGATCTTCTATCACTTGTGACATGACTGATTAACACTGCAAATACACTTCCCTCTCTATGACTCAGAATGACTAAAGACATGTTGGGCTTAGTGAATGAAACCTTGAAGGTATAAAAGTAGTTTCAGAAAATTCAGTTGAGATAGAATTACATACAAGTGAATACCACTGGAGATTTGAATTGGTCATAAGTAGTATAAGGATCACAAAGCAATGGTGAGTTTCTTAGAATCTGCCTTCACTAGCCAATAGCCTATGATACATATAAAACCGAGTGCTACAAGAACATAGAAGTATGATTTTTATGGAACCCAAAATGAAAGGAATTCTTTAAGAATTTTTGTTTTCCGAGTGCTTCCAGGGCTATTTCTAGGCACTCTCTCGATGTCGCCTTGCGTATCCCTCAGTCCCTCTTCTACATCACCTCTTTTCACAGGTGCCTACATAGCCTTCTTATACCTACTACCTTCATCCCTTTGGTCAAAGCAGAAGGTATTATGACCAAAAGAATTCCACTGAGCTTAGAATAACCAAAAATCCTACCTATCTCAGGAATTATTGCCTTGTAAAAGAGAAGTCCAGAGGGACCAAAGCCTCTCTCAAAGGAGTGAGTCATTAATGATTGGATTCCAGGCCCCACGGCCCCTGAGTGGGGGTCATTTAAGGGGCTGCCCCTCAGACACCACCGTGTAAGCAGCTGCCGTGTACAGCACCTCAAGCACCTGATCGGAAGAAGCCACTACCTTTAGATTGGATTCCTCTTACTGGTGACTAAAAGCTTGAAAAGCACAGAGGAAGAAAGTAGGTTCAAATTCTTACCTCATAGGAGGGACAGGCAGCCTGTGTGAATAGTTACAGGCTAAAAGGTAGTAGTGTGTGACATAGAGGAGTCAGCCCCCATGAACCCTCTAGCCCCTCTTCCTCTGTTCTTCTTCCGCAGATGTGGTGATGGCAGTGGACAATGGGAATACAAAGGACGGGAGGCCTGGGGCTCTCAGCTGGACTCTGGGAACATATGTTTTTAATATTGTTGCACTTCTGAGGCGAGTCTGCTTTTTGTGTCAGCATTCATCAAGTCTTGTCAAGCTTCCTCCTAAGTATCTCTCTACTCAGTCACTTCTTCTCCACCCCACTGCCTTCAAACCCTCTGAGAGCTCCATCTTCACTGATCACCCTTCCTCTGGTATCACGTCTCTTCTGCCCATCCTCCATAATCTCACAGGTGGATCTGACCGTTCTACCCACTTTCAGTTCTTCAGTGTCTTCTTGTCACTTTGGGGCTGAGCCTAACTTTCTTACTCTCACATCCAAGGCTCTTCTCACTGGTTCCATCCTCTCTTTCTGGCCTCATATTTCACCACTTCTTCATCCACAGATGAGACTCAGCCATATGGAACCACCGATGGCTCCATGTCATGTCATGCTCTGTCTTGCTTCCTTGCATTTCTACCTGCTGTCTCCTCCACCCAGAATCTTTCCCCACCCTCCTCTGTCTTCCTGGTGGACTCCTGCTTCTCCTTCGGGTCTGCTTAGTGGTCATCTTCTCTGCAAAAGTGTCCGTCGTCTTCCCAGCTTAATGACAAGGCATTTCCTCTGGGCTCCTCTAGCACCTTTTTATGTATGCCCTGCCTGATACTCTTTTCACTGTATTGCAGATACTCTTTTGTGTGTCTGTCTCATTGACTAGACTGTGCGCTCCACGCGGGCAAGGACTAGCTAATCCAATCTGTGTTCCAAGCACCTAGCAAATGCTTGGCACATAGTAGATATTAAATAAATGAATGAATCAGTTTCAAGGATTACTTGATTACATTTTCAAATCCATAATGGTAACCAAATAACCTAAACATAAGCAAGTGGAAATTGGTACAGAATCCAACCTCAACTGTATTTCTTTAACTGTAGTTTGTCTGCTGGTTTTTTTTTCCTGTGCTCTGCTGTCTAGTTATTGACATATCCTAGTCCTAACTTCCACTGGATGACTTAATACTGTTTGTTTTTTTTTTTTTTGTTTTGAAAGTCAAAAGAAATCTCCTTTGAAAGAGGACTATAATGGGAAATTGGGGTGTCATGGTTATCCTTTTCTTTTCCTGGGTGTCTGCTCCTCCCTCCTTACATAGCACTGCTGTCATTCAGGACTGGCCTAAAAATAGCACTGTTCCATACTGCAGCCTGCTAGCATGTTTCCATACCTCATTAGTGGAGTGACAGGTCGCAGACCCAGTGAGATCCAATCAGTTCTAATCCTCTTACATATTCACAAATGGACTACCCCAGATTGAGAACCGACTTCATACTTTCCCTGGGTTCTCTGGCACACCAATGAGAGGTACACTTTCAAACAGAGTCTGATCTGTCATCAACTCTGGAGACGGTTATCCCAGGAGCAGCCTTTAGTGATGGTGCAAATAGACTTTGATAAAGCTTTGTATGAAAAATGGGTCAGGTGTGAGAAAGTTGTGAGAGGTGATCAGGGGAGAGAGTACTTATTTTACAATGCATGTCTCAAGGAAGGATTTTAAAGAAGAGCAGAGAGAAGTTCAGGGCACTAAACTCAGAGGAATACGCAGAATTCAGGCATGATATGAAAACCAAAAATAGGAGGAAAGAAAATGTGAGGATAGAGAGCTCCATAGAAAGCTTAGAAGAAAGTAGATTCAAATATGGCCATAAATATAAACAGGGTATCACATTATGGAGCTTTGAACCTAATGGAATTTATGTGGCTAAAACTCTGACCAAGTCTGAAAATTCACCCTATTAAATCTTGATGCACTTTTCAAAAGCACTTAGCATTAGAATCCAGTCCCAATTCTTGGCGCCAAGAGTTCCAGGCACTGGGTTCTGTAGCCCTAGTCATTGTAGCCATCTTCGCTGAGTGGTAGCATTACTTCGAGTTATTATAAAAGGGCTTATCCATAGAGCAGTCACAAGGTTTCTCTTAGCAGTCTGTTCCCCTAATTCTGGTGACAAGAAGTTGACACTTTGTGTTAGTGAAGTGCATTTGGGATGGGGGGGCAGGGGAGAGAGTGAAGGGACCACAAAACAGACATCATACTAAAATGTGGAGATAAGCAGATAGGATTGGACTTGTGAATTGAGATATTAGAAGCTTATTGAAATGTGATATATATGGCTGTGTGCCTGAGTCTGTTTAAATATCTTCACTTATGGGGAAATGTCTAGCTAGTAGGGAAATCATTTGATCTATGAAACATTTCCATGCTTCTTAGAATTACTATGTCAGTGGTAAAGACAGTAGAAGTCTAACCAACTTTGTTATAAAATGTCACCTTTTCAATTAAGGTATGTCATTTAAACCATTAATTTGCTTCACGCCTTTATGTTACCTAGTGTGTTAACGTTCTAGGCAACCCAAAGAAGGCTTGCATGTTCTGCAGTTGGGTTTAAAAGAATGTCCTGGGAACTGCATTTGAAAACAGCAAAAGGCCCACTCAAATTGAGTGGAAATGAGGGTGTCTTGCAGATGGTGTTTTATTAGCAAAAGGCTTTGTGATTAAATATAACTTTATCCATAATTTCATTTATTTTTTTTATTTTTTTATTTATTTTTATTTATTTTTATTTTTTTTAATTTTATTTATTTATTTATTTGAGAGAGAGAGAGAGAGAGAGAGAGAGAGAGAGAGAGAGGCCAGCTCAGCCCACCAGGGGGCGGGCTGGCTGGCATGTGGTGCTGGGGGATTGAACCGCGGTCCCTGATGCTTTTGCTAAGCTTGTTCTAAGTAGGTGCTCCAGACCACTGAGCCATCTCTCCAGCCCTATCCATAATTTCATTACAAATGTTTTTGTTCATTCTTACCTTAGGACAAAATATCTGCTGTTGTAGATGGATTTACATTTTGGTATAATTTGTTATTAGTACTGTTTGGCAGCTAAATACTTGCACAGAAAAGAAAGGACCAGTGCCGTATCGTAAGTGTCTCAGTACAATGGAAGTAAGCTTTCAAAAGTTCAGTGCCAGTATGTAGAACACAGCACCCCTAAAGGGTTGTTTGCTTTACATGTTGATCTGTGGTAGACCTAAGGCCTCAAAACTAGGAGCCCCTTAGAGAAGGTTAGTGGAATTTACCTGGGAAGTTTTTCTAGGTTATTTTAGAGACTTAGTGTTAACCACAGATGAAAAACTATGGCTCATATTTGTGACTGTGCCTTTTTTATTTTATGTCCTATGCAGTGAGCTCTGTGGGTATAATTAGTTTTATTGTGAGGTGCAGCCTAAGCTCATGTCTCTTGTGTGAGAAGGGAAGAGAGCACCGAGGTCCTCTGCAGTGATGTTGTATATGTATCCATCACAGGAGTGATAGAGGCAGCTTTGCTGAAGCACAGATGGCCACCCAGCTGCCATGTGTCATTCACACAAAGCATTTGTCACTGAATGTACAGCACAAGTTCTTTCTTGTCAGCTCCTAAGGAAATAAAGTAGCATTCAGTCCCAAGCTATAACAGGCCTAATTTCTTATCCCACCTCCAAGAACAGAGACATCTCTGAATGTCTGAACACTTTCAGATTACCAGGAAAGGTCATCTGTTGTTCCCCAGTGGTGCCCTTTGGTGTATGCTTTTTGACTATTCCCATTCTTTGGTTGCATTTGGAATGGAAACTTGGTTTTCTTACTACACATTTTCATATTCTCCCTAATTTTAGCATCTCACTAAGTTAGTGATAGTGAACCTTTTAGAGATTTTGATAATACAAACAGCCCACTGCAGCAGGTGTGCTGGAGTTGACCACTACTGCGCTAGGCACAAGGAGTGGATTCAGTGAGCATCCAGAAAACATAGGGATACCAAATCCAGCATTCTTTGTACTGGGGAGATCAGAGATAATTGTAAGGGCTTTGATGT